TGTGAGACGACCTAAATTTGTGAGACCGTGAGACGCAATCCTAGCCACTCATTTTGTAGATAAAAAAAGGGTTAGGTTCATGTGAGACAACCTAAATTTGTGAGACCGTGAGATGTAATCCTAGCCACTCATTTTGTAGATAAAAAAAACATTTTTAAAATGCAAAATAAATGAAAATTTTCAAATATTATTTTCATCATTTATATTTTCCAAAAAAAAATACCAAAAAAAAATATATAGTTTTTTTTACATATTCTAATAGAATATTTGAATATTCTACATATCTGACAAATCTAGTAGAATATTCTAACATTCTAAAAATCACATTAGAATATTTACAGTGTAATATTTTATTAGAATATTTCACGTATTTAAAAAAACGGTAATTTTATTTATTTATTATTATTATTATTTTTTTAGGTAAAAAAAGTGACGAAAATAGTAATTTATAATTTTATTTTCGGATTTTTCCTTTCATTTTGCATTTTAAAATTATTTTTAGATTGCGTCTCACGGTCTCACAAAATTAGTATGATATCAAATGAACCTGAACTTATATAAATCAATACTACCACTAAAGTTTATATCATATTTTGAAAAAAAAAAACTAATTAACTGTTATTAGTGTGTTATGATATTAGTCTAAAGAGGTAGAATATATTTTACATTTATGAGAGTTATAAACGAGACTAACTTGTAATAACAATAAAATTAACAAACATTAAAATTGTATAATTTGTTAAAAAACAAGTTGAACTCTAATTGGTAAGTTTATAAATGCTCTTAAAAAGGTTTACAAATAATTTAAACACAGTTAAAAAACTATGTTGAGTTTTAGTAAGTAAAATTATAAAAGAATAAAATTGCACTTAAAATTATATTTGAGTTAATGCTATATTAAGATTGTAATATTAGTCAAAAAGTTTTATTATGTATATTAGTTAATTAAAAGATAAAAGATATGTTTGTGATAATTTCAAATTAAGGTATATAGTTAAGAACTTTGGTTTGTAAAAGATATGTTTGTGATAATTTCAAATTATTAGTAAAAGTTTTAAGCATCCTGTTGATTAACATTTAACAATACAAATTAAAGAGATGTAGTGATTTGTATAAAACACTTTAAAACACTTTTTAGCCAATTTGATTCGATGCTATATCTATTTTAGAGTAGTGAAAGAATCATTTGTTGAGGATTAAGGAACGTAACCCCCATTAAGGAACATTACACTAGCTAGTCGATTAGTATCCAAATTGGATTCATATTCTTTTGACTTATTGACTATATATGGAAATTATCGCTATCGATCGATAGCTCGATAAAGACACATATCTAACAAACAGGCTGCTAGTCTGCTACAATACAATGGAGCCTACAAACAAAACATACAGCAAATAAAGACTTGAAAAGCAAAGTCCTTCCAAGGAAATGCATGGAAATTTCTAAATGTTTTTTTTCTTATTTCACTCGGCTTCCATTAATTACTAGTTCCACACGTACTACTATTTGTATATATATAATATATATGTATAATGTATATGTATGAACACAAACACGCATACACACATTCAAGCACCCATGCACCCTTCCGCAATTCAGATATTGGTCGCACCCAAGATTCAGAACTTTGGTTTGTAAAGTTTGATTTTTGATCGTTTCTTTTGTTAAGAAAGAGGAGCTACACGCAATCAAGATCAAGATAGATCCCGAAAATGGAGGGAGAAGGAGTGGTCGGGGCACCAGGGTTTAGATTCTACCCTACAGAAGAAGAGTTGATAACATTTTATTTAAAGCATAAGATACAAGGCACCACCAGATTACTGCAACATATCGATAGAGTCATACCTCGGCTTCATGTCTACGATTTCTACCCATGGGACCTCCCTCGTTAGTACTTCAATTCATCCCCTTTTGTCTCTTTTAATTCCTCCAAACATATATATTTTTGAATAAATTAAAAACGGAAAACTTAGGAAACTAATTAAGTGTTTATATATAATGGGGTTTAAAGCATTTCAAGAACACAATTTCTACTGTTTTTTGTTTGCCATAATTAATTTGGATCTATATATACTCCGTATATAATATTTTGAAAGCAGAATATGCTGGAGAACGTTGTCAAGGAGACCTGGAGCAGTGGTTCTTTTTCATTCCTAGACAAGAGAAAGAAGCAAGAGGAGGGCGACCCAGCCGCCTGACTAGTTCCGGCTACTGGAAGGCCACCGGTTCACCAAGCATCGTTTACTCTTGCAATAATCGAGCCATTGGGATCAAGAGAACCATGGTTTTCTATAATGGTAGAGCTCCCAGTGGGACCAAGACCAAATGGAAAATGAATGAATACAAGGCTTTCCAAGAAGTGCCCTCCTCAAACTCTAACCCTAGACCCGAGGTATGATCATTCATTCATTTGTTAACATTTAATTCTTTTTTGGTTTTAATTCGTTCATTTGTAATTAAATCATTTCAAGCTTTCGAATTCCAATATATATATATCTCGTTGTATAATGTAAGATGCAGTTGATGGAGGAATTAAGTTTGTGCCGAGTGTATGTAAAATCAAATTGTTTGAGGGCTTTTGATAGAAGACCATCAGGAGTTGCACTAAACGAGCATGTACCCGTTCTGCCACCCTTTTAATTCAACTAATCCTAGCCAGCCATCATCAATAATAAAGAAGAGGGCAAGCTTTTCTAGCTATATCCACTCCTGTGCTTGCCGATTATTCGTGGTCAATCTTCAAAAAAAAGGGTATACCGTATACGTACGTACCCTCCACCGCGGTCAAGTTGAGCTAAGGTAAATTATATTATGCCAAGAGCAAGAAAAGTTATATCCAAATTCGAATATCATATACCCTACTTATGGATCCTCAAGTGTATATATATGGGAATCAATGATGAGCCTTTGTGGTCTTTTGTGGATTGATCTCATCTCTCTTTTCTCAATAATTGGAAGTGCTGGGTACGTACTGCTATCATGTGGCATTTGGAGATATTTGGTATTTGCTGAACGGCTTATTTTTTAAGAGAACAAGAGTCGTAGAGCATTACTATTTGGGTCCATTGTTGCTTCTTACTTGGCATTATGTCAATGTATGTAAATGATTAAAATAATTCTTTTGTATTTACTTTTATTTCTTAGGAGCTTATATATAGATGTTGGAAACTAAGAATATATATATATATATATATATATATATATATATATATATATATATATATATATATATATATCTTCTTTNTAAAATTTATTACACTATAAGAAATATGGTTTTGGCATGTTGTCGCTACACAATCTCTCATATGAGAAAAAATATAAGAGCATTCGTAAAGGTAAATTTAATGCGAGAGCTAAATGAGACGTCAAGTTTAGTTTTCATTCAATGAATAAAGATTTATTATTGTAAGATGTTACATTGACATTTAATGTATTTGAAGTTCACCGCTTAATAAACTCTTTAACGGGAAAAAAATGAAAGTTTCTAACTCTCAAATAAATATTATAATTTAGCTTTTGCAATGTTCAATTGAACATTGTAGAGTTCAAAACATTGTAACATTAAGAAAAATGTGATTGTATACCAATCCATGAAAATGCACATCGTTTTTTTGTGAGTCGTTAGTGGATAATGCATGGTTTACTGATACACTAGTTGAAATGATGGTACAAACTCGAAATTATGATTGTTGATGGAGCATGTGTGGTTAATCGGCACGTTAATGAGAGATCATAAATGAGATCGAGATAGTCACGCGAGTTTGCATGATTATTCACATCTCGTTCGTGATTTCCAGCATCCCAGACACAAAAACGAGATCATAATTCGATATTAAACATGTCATTGATAAGAATCAGTGAATCTAAAAAAATCTAGGAATTTTATAAGATTGAAATTGGTAAAAGCCTTACCTACCTAAAATAAATTCGCAATTTGATTACAATATCCCTCTTTAAAGTTTAAATTAAAATATGGATCCTAGTCTTGAATCTTAATTTGGGTTAAAATATTAAGGATTAATCAACTTACTAAAACTTCCTCTCATATAGCAAATGTATGAAAATGGTGATCTTCCTCCTCATTCCTCGCCATTATTTCCACTTTCCTTTTCACAATACCTCCCAAAAGTGCAACCTTCACTCTTTTCCATCATCATGAGGCTAGAAAGGTTTGATATCACTATAGCCTTACTTACATGTAAAAACCAAGAAGGAACTTTTATGTGTGCATATGTCAACAAAGTTAAGATATATACTAACAGACTGAGAAACATGGGTGCCGAGTTAGCAAAGGAGCAATCCATTGATTTGGTTCTGTACTGTCACACCCCCGGCCGGCGGCGGAAGCACCGAGTGGTAACATCGGTACATAGATTACCCAAATCACAGAGTATAAACTATAAATACCTTTTAGACTTCCCACACGCATCATCTACTAATCTCGTTCCTTTTAGACTTCCCGCTTCTCGGCTTCAATTTCACAAGCCCAGGTCTAGACTTCAATTTCACGAGTACACAATATTCATCTGATACATAAAGGGGAAAAATTTAGGGTTAGAAAAAGTCAATTACATTATTTTCATAAATAACTACCTAATATAAAGGGATTTAA